GGAACACGGTGTCGCATTTTGCGGGGACCGTATCGTGAAATTGAAATACATCCCTATAAGCGTGCAATATTCCTAGAATCTTATATGAACGTTACTAAATATTAAAATAATATTCTTATAATATTCTATGAATTTTATGTAATATTTTTTAATATTACAGGAATGTTCTATGAATATTATTTGTTCACTTCACATAATAATCTTGGTATATAATAAAAATGTTCTTAAAATATTTAAAAAAATAATAATAATACAGAAAAATATATATAAATAAAAAATATATATATTACGTATATACATAGAGTTGAATATTAAAAAAATATATAATATTACAATAACATTAAATAATATTATTTTTTTAATATTATTAGGAATGAATATATAATCATCTATTAATATTCCACAAATATTACTTAATATTATTGGGAGTACAAATTAGTTCGGTCCGTTTTTTGTGGTCAAAAATGCATTTATTTCAGAACAAAATGAATGAACAGATTAATCAAAGTATTGTCCATCGCTGGCTACTACTTTTTCCCACCTATCAGCCAATTTTCGAATTCCATCTCGAGAAAATGTCTCGTCTTTTGAGGCGATCCAAGTTAGGAGCCAATTTTCGTTTTCTGCGAAAGAAGTGAACCGGTGACCTGCCAAATCGTGTTGCATCCGTCGGAACAACCAGAAATCAGAAGGAGCAATGTCCGGCGAATACAGCGGGTGCGGTAAAATATCCCACTTGAGCGTTTCCAAATAATTTTTTACGACTTTTGCGACATGAGGCCGAGCGTTATCATGCAGAAGAATAACTTTGTCATGTCTTTGCTCGTATTTTGGCCGTTTTTCTCGTAATGCACGGCTCAAACGAATCAACTGTAGCCTATACCGATGGTTCGTAATGGAATCGCCAGGTTGTAGCAGCTCATAGTATACAACGCCCTTTTGGTCCCACCAGCTACACAGCATAACCTTCGAACCATGAATATTCGGCTTTGGTGTCAATGTTGAGGTCGATGGCAACGATCGATCGGGCATAGCGTAATATTTTTTCTTCTTGGGGTTATCGTAGAATACCCATTTCTCATCCCCAGTCATAATTCGATGTAAAAAACCCTTTCTTTGTTGCCTTTGAATCAGCTGCTCGTAAGTAAAAAATCGCCTTTCAACGTCTCTCTGTTTCAGTTCATAAGGCACCCAATTGCCTTGCTTGTGAATCATTCTCATGGATTTCAATCGTACGGAAACTGCTTGTTGCGTAACTCCCAATGTTTCTGCAAGTTCCTCTTGCGTTTAACTCGGATATTCATCAAGTAATGCCTCCAATTCTTTGTCTTCGAATATTTTTGTCCAGAGCGAGACTTGTCTTCAACGCTGAAATCACCATTCTTGAAACGTCGAAAGCATTCCCTACATGATTTATCAGTTGGAGCATTGTCTCCATAAACTTCTACAAGCATTCGATGCGCTTCAGCTGCACTTTTCTTCCAATTAAAGCAGAAAGCTAAAACCTCCCGCAAATGCTGCTTAGTTAACACAAAATTTGACATATTCAACACAGTAAAAAACAGGGGTTTTGTATGAAACTCAAAGCGATATACCAAATGGTAAACTGAATATTATTGACAGATGCCTAACCTCTCTGAAACCACCGAAATCAGCTGTCACTATGAAACATTCATAACAGCCAGAGCCATCTTTTGAAAACGGACCGAACTAATTTGTGCTTCCAATAAATAATATTACGTAAAATATTACGTATAATATTCTAAGACTATGCCCAGAATATTTCTTAATATTAAATAATATCATGCGCTAGGGATGTCTCGTACTACATATATTTAAATTAATTCAACCCGGAACCGTTCATTTTCAAATGCAACGATCGCCCTGAGGTAAACTGCATTTATCGTTTTAACGGGCTTGAAAGAGATTTATGAGAAGTATGAGTAGACGTGTGTAATTTATTTATCTAGCTGACCGAAATGTATAACGACATCAGATCTGTATGAGAAATTGATTAAAGTTCGCTTTCGTGTAGGTAGCTGATATAATACACAATAATATGCGGTGCCGCATTCGCGACATGCTTGAATATAATCGGCGAATAAAATCCCGCATGTGGGAACGGCACGATTATCGGCTGTCACGACTTTATGGCCGATCGCGTGCACATATTTATGCGCCGCGATTGCGCAAGGAATTTTGCATTCCTTCTCACTTTCAGCGTTCAGAATCTGTTCCGATATCGGTAAGTATACGTCTAGCGCTATATTTAGCTGCTGCTCTTTTTGATCGAATATGAGATGCATAGATTAAATTCATACCAGAACATAATTAAATGCGAATACGGTACGTGTAATAATTTGTACGATTTATGCATTTGCATGACTGGAAAATTGAGAACGAGTGAGATGATCTTCTTGACGAGTTTAGCGCGAATTTTTCTGTGATGAAAAGTTAGGAATGTCATAAATACACAAATAACTTAATGTACAGATAAAATATATGAAGTAAAAATATGTGTGTAAGCCAGAAACGCAATCTTACTGTTGAATTATATTATATTACGAAACTGGGACAGTTTGGTAAGTTTGAATTTTGAAGGGAACAGACAAGCGAAAACCGGTGTACATTCACAAATATTTTATTTGGAGACATACAATAGGTATAAAAAACTGTGAAGGCAGATAAACTTACGGTATACGTCGGTACTTCGCGCACGCGTCTCGGGATTTGCACAAGTACATCGATGCATTCGTGCGGCGAGTGCAACCTTCGTCGTCTCTTTTTGTTACGTAGGAATCACGAAAATAAAAAAATGTTCATTCTCGAACGGCACCCGCGCTCAAACTTGGCCTCGGCAGTAATATCGAAACTTCCGATCGCGGGAAATTTCACGGTAAGAATGTACTTTCTCGGGTGCACGTTTCACGTGTCGGAAAGTACAATGTACTTTCCATCGGTCGAATAGAAACTTGAAAGAACATAGACAAGTCTCAACGTCGAAACATCGCTTCTACAATGAACTCGAACGATAAAAAAAACATAGGTCTGTTTATTTTTTACAATAGTATATATATATATGAATGTTGAACTTGCTCGCTGACTAAGATACTCGAATAGCAATAATTATATCGTTTAAATATCTATCATTAACGAACATCCGCGGGCTGTGCATTAAATAGATCATCGTCCCCATTCTAGCAGGATCAAGCAGAGTTGACAAAATCTCGTTGTCCCTGTGAAACTACTTGCTTGTCGCAACCGTTATTTACAACTTCCTTTAACAGCACATTCGACGTATCTCCTTCTACAATTATATAAAATATAAGAAAATTAAATTTAAATTTAACCATAATAATTTTAATAAATGCAATCATTAAACTGTAAACTTACATTTTAATTTAAACGTGACAATTAATATTTAAACATAATATTAGCTTCGATATTAATTTAAATTAAATGTTAAGGTTAACTTGGAGGAAGATCCGTTTGTAACGATTCGATACAATTATGCTCAATGGTAGGACTTGTTGAGATACTCGGTCCTGCCGGAAGGGAGATTCGCTCCGGCCGAAAGAAATGGAATGCTTAACAATAGCAGATGCACAGTGCCGGACCTGGTCAATCAGTACTGATTCTCGGTCACGGGTCGTACGCCCGATTGTTGCTGTTGCTGCTGCTGATTATAGCCAAGGCCCTGATTGTAGCCGGCCACGCGAGCCTGCGTGTAAGAGTTCGCCTGGGAGTGATACGCGCCACCTTGACCTTGATACTGCGCCTGCTGCACCTGCAGCTGCTTCTGTGGCGCGCTCACGGGTTGCGGCACGTAGGGTTTGTCGGGTCCGCGATACGAGACCTGATTGGCAAAGATATTATACGGCGTTTGCGCCTGGAACTTCAGTAGCTCTTGCAGTTGCGCCGGTAAGTTAGTTGAGTATTGCGGCTGCGGTTCCGCCTTCGGCTGGGATACCCTGCGGTACTGCGGCTGTGCCGTCTGTTGCTGATGTTGAGGATTCGCTTCACGCTTGGGTCTGGCGTGACCGCGCGGTCTGTGACGCGGTTCCGGCGCGGGCGCAGCTGCGGGCTGAGCTGCCAAGTTCCGGAAGTGCTCCCGTACCTGCTCCGCTTGAGCCTTTATCGCCGCCTCTTCGTCGAATCTGCGAAGCGATTGTTGGTTAAAACCACCTATTTTGTTTAAGTCGGTTGTTCAATTATTAGTTAGCAAGAGAATATGATAGATGTGTGCAAGCGTCCCTCCGAAACGAGCCTATAGTAATAATTTATTTTGCTAAATTTTTTAACGAAAAAAATTGTGAGAATCAAGAATCTACTCGCAGAATCAGGATCAGAATGCAAAAATACATTTAAAGAAGTGTTAAAATTATTATGATTAAATTTAAATTTAATTTTCTTATATTTTATATAATTATAGAAGGAGATGCGTCGAATGTGCTGTTAAAGGAAGTGCAACACAGGTGTGGCAACAAAATGACCGCGTTTGCACAAAATGTCAGGGATAATATTTCATACGAATTAACACATTATGGACCGCTAATTTTTTTCACTTCCTTTGAGATAAAGTAAAATTGGAAAAAAAAGGTTCAAAATATAATAGACTTTATCCTAAGTTGGCCGAAACGCACAAAAATGCGTATACAGTCTGCGATGTTTTGATAGAACTTAGGTAGACACTTGAAAGGTGCATGGACATTCATGATGATAAAGTTATCGAAATAAATGAAGTTTGAAATGAAGGAGCAATCGAAGGCAGTTCGAAATAAAAATATATAAATTTACAATGAAAAATGAATTCGGTTAGATCTGCCTGGCAATAGGCGATTAAACGCGTTTTGATTAAAGGAAACGAAATTTCCGATTGTAAGGAAACCAAATTTGATTCATAAAAATCAGAAATCTTGTTTTCTACAACCAAAACGCGTTTGGTTCGTCAGGTAGACCCAAGCAAACTCAATGTTCAATGCCCTGTGATACATGAAATTCTTCGTTGGGATCTACTGATCACGTTCGTCACGTAATAATCGGCAGGCACGACGACGGAGGGAAGAAAGCGCGGAAGGAGAATGAGGGGATCTCGGTGGAAGGCCGAGACTCGATCGTTCGTCACCTGAATTGCTCGGGGATCACATTGAGGTACGGGATCTGCTGTTGGTACTGGAGCAGTTGTTGGATCTGCGGCGGCGCGTTGGCGTAATGTTTGTATTGTGGTGCAGGTTCTGCGGGCGCCTGTTGCGGCCGAGGCGCTCGCCGATGCGCCGCGGCCTGCCGGACCGGCGCCGCGGCCTGCGCCGCATGCTGCGGTTCTACGTGCGCGCTCGGCCGCTGTTGGCGCTCGTACGATCTCCAGTTCACCCTGTAACCTTTCAGGAGACACGCTTATTAGATGATTCAGCGCAAGGAACGGGGGGAGGAGGAATAAAGCGCGGAACCACACCGGCGACAACATACCGCTGGGATCGTTGTACTGGAGCGCCTTCTCGTTACCCTGATTGGGATCGTATGCGCCTTGAATGATGGACTGGCTGTGCCCATCGGTCGGCCCCTGTATGTGGAAGGTAGCCGCCCCCCCGTCCGTAGGGCCCTGAATATGGAAGTCTGAGTTCCCGTCTGTGGCGCCTTGAATTTGGAAGTTGCTGTGACCGTCGGTCGCACCTTGGATGGTGAAGTCTCCGGCTCCTTGTGATTCTAAAAATCGCGAAGACACGGCATAATGGTAATGATGAGGGCAGGGGATTTTTCTTGAATAATAATAGCATACTAATAGCATTGTTTATTAGACTTACATTATATACGTTATTCTTACTCAAATGATGTTTTGTGATCAACTGAATGTTCCTTTGTTTACATTTGATACTAATATTTACATTCAGCATTGAGATACAAACCGAAACACAAATAACTTTGAAGCGTTCGAATACTTTTGTTACCCATGCCTGGTGCGTATTTCAAGAAAATCTGTCGTAAACACTATATACATGCGATTGGATTATTTTCTAATTTTACTAACATAATCTTGGGACTTCCTTCTTTCTATAGACACTAAATTATTTTAAATATTCAGGATTAACATACATATTTTATGTGCTAAAGATAAGAAATCTAACCGTTCGAATACTTTCGTTAGTCACTGTATGTTATATTTGAGTATTTCTGTATCATGACTACTGCCTTGGAGCATCGTTGTCGATTCATCAAATCATCAACAATCACGATGCACGAATATTTGTGCATAATATTTTTGATTGGAAATTTTCGCGGTCGCTATGCCTAAGGAATGAGATCTAGTATTAATGGAATCTTTCGTGATCGTATCGTACGCATTGCTTTCTAAATTTTTCATACTACCTTGAAATTGTTTCGACGAGTATATTCTAATCGAACGAGGCTATTATGTTGCACTTGTTTGTTTTACGAACATTTACATCCGTGAGAGAAATTCTTTGCGCACACGAAAAAAGGAAGATTTTAGATTGCATTCACTCTTTGTGGAAAGTTTTAATTTAAATAATATTTGATTCTTAAAGAATTTCTAATTTAAATGACATTTGCGTGAGATAAGACGACCTCGATGACTAAGATATTCTTACCGTTTTGATCGGTATATTCGAGTCCTTTATCCTGGCTGAACTTCAGACCCTGGGCTCGTCGGTTCCCGTCGCTAGGTCCCTGAATTGAAAATTGGCCCAGGCATATTGGAAGCGCCGTCAGGAATAAAACCTGCAATATTGAACGTTACGACGATTTGATACGATTTCGATATATGCCTTGATATGACTTCATATGAAGTACAATAGTTTCCAGACAGCACAAATGCTCGATAGAATCCTAGGAACGTCACAGGAATATTCGAATATTTCTGGGACGTTCTTAGAATGTCTTTTGAACATTTGTGTTACATGGGTCGGCGACTAGCTACGATTTATGCGACGGAAACGGCCGTTAAATACAGGATTAAAATATCGCACGAAAGAGAAAGGAATGGATGTCGGAATAGAAGACAAATAAAATTCTGCATCGATTATACATGTATTTTACAAGTTTTATCGCCGCATTAATTATAATAATTGATTGCATTCCGGAATGCTCTGCCTTGCTCTCGACGCCGCGAGGCGCGCTCGGTTTCGTAACTCGCGAACTCCGTGGATCATTATCTAACGTACGTTAAGTCGTCGCTAAACCTGTATCTGTCTTACGTGGCAGTATCGCACTATGTTGCACTATATATGGCAAACATATCGCGTGCAACTGGCAACCGGGAAGGGAAAGTCACGAGCGAGGCATGAATCTTTAATCAGCCGGCGGTTATCGGGAAAAGGTGAGCACGCTGGAGCTCAGCATTCGCGGCAGGCCCCGCTCGATGCAGGCCGCGCGAGACAAAAAGTGGGTGCGAGAGCACAAAAAAGGAACGAAAGGTCTCTCTCTCGCGGGTGCGCGTAACCGAAGCGATCGAATGCGCCTCGCATAGTTGCACGACGACGTCTCGATACCTGGTAGAAAGTGAGATATAAATTAATCTCGTCTAGACTCCGTGCCGGAGCGATTATTCGGGAAAAAGTTTCGCCGGCCCCAGGGCGGCGCGGACTTGCCGGGAATGTTTCCGACCGTCCAGGCCGAACGAGATACCGCTCCGCGGGGTTATTATGCGCGAGCGACGAATTCTGCGGTTTTATTTTGCGCGGAACGCGGAACCCGAGCGACATTTCGCGTGATATCGCGATATGCACAGCGGAGTTGCTCGGGTATTTGTGAGTTCTCACAGGTTGGACGCGGCGAGAAGTGGAAAAATAAAATACGGAAATATATATATATATATATATATATAACATTGGCGATGCACGAAGAACTGATAACTGTCGGCAGTAAATGAAACGAGGAAGCGGATGTTGTTAAGATATAAAGTGGTCAGCACGGAGGGAAAGGTTTCTTTGGACTTAGTATACGCGTTTGACTTGGGTTTCTCTAATATAAACTATGTAATTTAATATCAAATGTTATTTGGTTTGAGTGAAAATGTTATCGTTTCACGTAAACCATATTATTCGATAGAAGCAGTAATGTTATTTAGAGGGAATGTAATATTTCATTTCTAATGAAGAAAATTTATTTTGTTATATATTAAATATCGTTTCACTGAAACAAAGAAGTTCTTTAGTATTTTCCTAACTTAGTGTTATTTCTTTCTAATAAATTATTGCTGGTAACAACCTTAAACGTAGCGTTTGGATTGACGATACAAAAGGAATATATTACTTGACATTTATTGTTTGAGAAACCAGATGATCTTGTTTGTTGAGTGAAACATTTGTTTGTTTGCTCCGTTCCGAAAGACAAATTTGCAATTAAAGGAATTTTATTAAATCCGAAGAAATCTATTTCTCTGTGCGATTGTCCAAAAAGAAGAGTATAAAATATATAACAAACAAAAATATTCTTAGTACGCTTATAATAGAATTGTTCTATTTATTATTTGCTCCGTAGAAATCATATCTCACATTTCGACGATTGGTGGTTTGATTTTTCTACGAAAAGAAAGTATCACGTGAAGAGAATCAACGAAGCAGATCGAAAAGGCAAGAGTTGCTTGGAATTTCTGTTCACGAGCTTGCGATACGATTATGAAATCTTGGTTGCTTGTATCCGCGTTCGACAATTAGGTCGTGAAATGCAGTCGCTCGGTCGGTAACTGTGATAATTAAGCGGCATTCCGAATTGTCGGCTGTTATGCGGTAACCGGCGGTGCAATTAAGTGAACGACATTCATCATTCTCTTATGTGCCTTACCTCGTTATTTCTCAACGGAAGACGATAACCCGTATCTCCGATTGAACGAGCGATTTCCCGTTTCCTAGCCTCACGAATGAAACTTTACAACAGCGTGCTCGAATCTCGCGGTGTAAAAATGACAAACAAGCGCACGGTGAGAGATAACCGCAAGGTAATCTGGATACCACCGAATTTTATCTCAAAATGATGAAGTCGGAACGAAAGAAATTATAGTTATTTTCGGCCTTACCTATACCTTTTTTACCTACAAAATAGGTTTTACCTACAATATAGTAGTAGCAATATGTGTGTGGAATTACTATTATTGGCACTATAGTGTAACATTTAATAGAAAAATACTTCTCCTGACTGTAATTCTTTCACTATGCTGGTTATAACTACAAATATTTTTCTCTTGGTAAGTGAAGGCACTTGAAGTAAAAAAATATGAATATTAATTAGTATAGATTCTGTATGAATGCTAACCAAAGAAGAACAACTTATTTCGGTCCAGTAAGAGCTTAAACATAGCTTAAAAATCTACAATTTTATACCCATGTGATGCATGGTTCTTCGCTGATCTGCTGATCTTTATCAGAGATGAAGCAATAATTGATGGACATGATAAAGGAAGGAAGGGATACGCGAAAGAGAAATATGGAAATCTCAGTTGAATGGAGCTCGATCAATGCTGGACAAACCGCATTGCGTGTTGGAATCGAGTGCAACTCCTCATTCCGGAACGTCGTTCCGCATTTTTCTTCCGGCGCGAAGAATATCGCAGAGCACACATGCGTGACTAATGACCTTTACACTGCGCGCGTACGTCGAGAGTATATTTTAAGGGACAGATATAATCGGTCAGTTGTGCACGTGGAAAAAGTCGAGAAAGGGAAAAAGTAACAAAATAACAGGCGCTGGCACAATCCGACGCTCGCGTTAACCGCGCAAACGCATTTAAAATAGACTCGTGATTTATCACTATCGCATACAGGCTGGCACATGGTAGCGCAATTAAGCATATGCGACCTCATTTCCCTTCCGGACCCGTTGTCGGGAGGACTTTTGCGAAGTTTCACACACACACACACACATACACGTCGCTTCCGTTTTTCGCAAGTGAGGCGCAAGGACACACTCTCGTCGGGTGTGAAGCGTAACGGCGGCCGAGGTGAAGTACTTACGTGCAATTTCATGGCGAGAAAGCTGGTCGATACCTTCGAGGGTGGAGTGTTTCTGAGGCGGGCGCGCGGTCACCAGAACAATTTTATAGGCGGCCACGTAAAAGGAGCCTTTCGGTGACGGGGATGTGACGAGAACCACCTCCATGTTGTACCTCGTCATCCGGCCGGCCGGTCGACAACGCGCGCTCAACAGTCGGTGATCTTTACGTGAGTCTATTCGAGGAATTAGCTCGCGGCGCTCAATGCAAATTCTCTATCCTTCTGAATTTAACTGAACTGCATCTAGCAAATCACTTCGAAAGTAACCTGATTCTACGAATTTATGTGATAGATATTTCGCCCTGCTGTTTTACCGCACTTTTATTGTAATCTTTATACATAACACTGTATTTAACCCTTTGTTGCATAATTTGTAGTTTCAAATTTGGAATCAGAAGCCTGAAAAAGCCTTAAATATAAAATTTTATATGTAAATAAGCTCTAGTTAGTTTTTTTCAAATTTGGCTGCCATATTGATTTCGCTATTTTCATTTTCTAATTTTTTAAATTTCAACTTCAGATTTGCAATTAGCAACTCTAAAACACCCATTTATTAAAATTCAACAAAATATGTTCAGAAAACAGAAAAATTTGTGCAACAAAAAGTTAAATAGTAGTAGTTTGGCGCATAAATATTAGCTGATATTTTTAAACAAAATAACTTTACCGGAATATTTTTCACATTAATAACTTAAGAAATTCCTGCTTTATAGTAAAAAGTTTCATCTTTTTTCATACTTCTTAATAAATATGTAATATTATATGAAATGAAGAAAATTGTACCCATTTGCAAATGTAGCTCGAGTTTTGATTGACTCAGGTCGTCCAACTTTCTTCATGTTGGACACGTGATATTTATCCTCCTACGTGATGCATTGTAATCGTGAAGAGTCTCGAGTGCGTCGACGGAAAATCGTGGAGTATTTAAAATGGAATGCCATGCAATGCGAAGTTTCCCAGGCATCGCCATTCAAAGGTTACAGGTGCGACGACCGCGCGCATCCGTAATTAATCGCCGACATTGAATTCAATCATTGTCTTGTCAAGTTACGTAACGGCTTACGCTTTAATCCGCCGCCTCCGTAATTGAAACGTTGAAGGTAGTATTGACTTAATTTATCAATATACCGTATTTCTCAGAAAAAAAGGAAAATAAAGATTTACGTAGGTTGTGTTTATTGTAATATCTTAAATTGTTTGTATGGCCACGAAGATATAATAAAACATTATTTATTTGTGATATTATTTCGGCATAATTTATATGAAAAAATGCGTTGAAAAAAATGCGTGGAGAAAAATGTTCCATACCTATATCATATTTATACAGAAAAAAGTTTTAGAATCAAATAAACGTAATTACCTGTTTTCAGCCTTTTAAATCAATTAATATTTTTTTCAATTTAAATATATTTTTATAACTTGTAGTAAATGCCCATTTAAACGAAATAATATTTTAATTTATAAATGGATTATTGATTGTATGTGTAAAATGATTCTAAATTTAAGAAAGTATTTATTAGAATTATGTAATATTTCTTTTCTATTAAAGAAACTTAGCAATGGTTTTAAGTTTAAATTTTGTTGTCCAGTAAATAAATTCTGACTCTTAAAGAAACGTAGCAATAGTTTTAAGTTTAAATTTCGCTCTAGTAAATAAAAATTAATTCTGATATTCTCAATATTATCAATTTAATACTTGTCGTAATTGTTTTAACATTTACAAGTAAATGTTTACTTGTACGGAGAAAATATCATATTATATATAATCAATTATATTTCTGCTTTTAATAAATATTTATCAAAGAGTATAGGAATAACCATTTTCTTGGATTAAGTAAATATTACTTGACACTTTTCAATGTGACGCTACATTCTCGATTTGACAAGAAATTACGAATTTATAATTTTGCGAAAGGCTTATAATTTCTGTCCCGTATCGAATTTCTGATGCTCCAGATGATTAAACTTACAATATCTTGATTCTATAAATCCCCCGTTCTAGATACGTACGGATCATGGGAATGGACCTTTGCTTTATTCGATTATTCAACTGCAAACTGCACTGACTCTTACTCACAAATAGAAATATCATTACGTCATTTTACCGTTAAAATTTATACCGTGTTAAAAAATTACACCGTATCGTATTATATCGCAGATAGATTAACAATCTGTGAAATTGCAGATTATTCCAAGGCTTGCGTCGACATGTGAAAACAATTCCTACGATACAACTCGATATAAGAAGCGATAATACCCAATGAATAAAAGCGAACGATGTGTACAGGGTGATTCATGGAGAACTTGCGTTGTTTCGCGAGCTAACTCCTTAGGTGACCATTTTTGAAAGAGAATGTACGTCCAATTTTAAGCAGAGATGAATCAATATTATTGTTAAATAAATATTTTATTTAAATAAAAAGCGATTAGTAATTTAATCGATACTATTTATCATAGTTCTTAGATTTTTGCAAGATTAATATAATTTTTATTTTTAGCTAAGTTGAAAAGTAAAAGTTATAATTGCCCATAAAATTGACTTAGTCAAGTTAAAAGTTATCTATACCAAAACTAACTTAATTAAAAGTTAATATCAAACTAATTTACTAAAGTTAATTATATAAATTGCATAAATTTTGCATAATTAACTTCTTAATCGTAGATTAAATTTATACTAAATAAAGAAAAAGTGATCTATTGTAACAAAATATCAACTGTTTTGTACCCAGTTTTGTTCTATGCAAGAAAAGAACACCAATGTCTCAAAATTATGTCGATATTATTTTTTATTTTTTGTATTTTATATTGTAAGTAGCCCCAATAATTTTAATACTAATGAATTATTTTTATTTATATAAAAAAAGTAATATAATAAGTTAAAGTTAATATATTTTAAATTAAAAGTCAATTTATTTAAAATTAACTTAGTTAAGTTAAAAATTATTAACTTCTAACTGAATAACTAATTACTATTCAACCTTGGATTTTTATATAAATGTTTCATTTATATTCTGTGTTCTCCTTTATACTTCGACATTTTTCCTACGCTTCGAGCAAAACTCAAAGCTTTTTTCCCTCATGGGAACTAAGTTAATTAATTTCTCGACGTTACGCGTGTTTGTCATGAATCACCCTGTGAGGTCTCAGCTACTCTCAGTAATTTTTCACAATTTCCTCGGGCAAGATCAGTGAACCTGAGGGGCGTGCCGCAGGCGAATTAGCTATTTGTGCAAGCACCGGTAAGCAGTAAAAATGAAAGTTGTGCCGTCGACAGCGAAACGAACGCTGGCACGTTCACAATTGCAACGCCGCAACGGTGCATCGATAGACGCGAAGCATGAAGGCCATGAAAGTAGATCGTCCCCGTCTTCCTCATCCGGAGAAATGCTTTCGTCATTTCCAGAGGGGTTATTGCCGTCTATGAGGAAAAGAAAGAGATACCGTAACGCGATACGCTTCTTTGAGTTTTACTGACGATGCTAAAGATCCTCGCCCGATGATAAACATTTCACCTTGTATCGTCACGCGCCGATGATGAAATCCATTTGATCGGATTGTGCTTTCTAATGTCTGTCGTATATTGAATTATCTCTGCGATCAATAAGTAGCCGATTCCTTTCTAATGAAAGCGCATGCAGTTCGTTAAAGAACGTTACGAAGTTACGGGTCACTATGTGTGTGTATGCGAGTATCCTTTTCATCTCGCGGGAACGCGAGGGAAATTTTCTTGTAGAAATTTTCTCAGTGTACACAGTCTCCGGTCCGATGAGAAGTTTTTCACAGGACACAGAGATCGATTTATAGTCCGTATCGCGTGCGAAATTTATGCCTCGACGGTATGCCTCTTCCCACAACTCCGGATTGCACGGATTTCTCCGGCGCGGGGCTGGAAGTATCACTTTTTAACGTCTCGTACATCAGATGTATCTTTATTCAATAGAAAGCGAAAAACCGTCCGACTTTCCATCTGCTCTAATAACCTGGGGCTTGGTAACTATCCTCGCGTGTAATTAACCAAATTACGCGTCGCGCGAATAGACTTTATCGTACTCGTTTCTTTAAATTCTTACCTTTTACGGTCGGAAATTCCGGTAGCACCGGACTGAAATAATAAAAGAGAAGTTCGCGCGAGACGGCAAGGTGAATCAATTTTCATTGTTATTAATAAGTTTAACATGTCTGCAACAAAGATGATATTTCTTCCAAATGTATTTCCAACTTATTTTCTTCTTGACGTTTTCTCTTTTTATAGATAAGCACATATGTCGCTTTACAGCTCTCTTCAGATCAAGAACTGTAGTGTCATGTGGTGGAACCTAAAATGAAACAAAAATTAAATAATTATATTTTAATAGACCAACATATAATTGACAAATTATTCTAATATCACAACCATTACCACTACTGCAAGTTTTGGCAATTTTCCATGATTTAAGAATAAAGTTGGAGTTTGTCCTTGTGCAAATGCAATTTGTGATGTCACAGTTCTTTGATCATAACAACTGAGGATAATCCAAAGCAGAGTGCATCAATAACAATGTCAATTGCTACCTTAGCCAGTCCTAACAATTCTTGATGTTGTGCCTAGTTTCAGACATTGTTTTATCAGGATACATTCTTGTCAAGTATCTCTTAATACATCTTTTAATTATGAGTTTTCCGCAATATTAGACGGTATACGATGCTTATATATTTATCTCTGTCTCCTAGGTAAAACATTGGAGGTATGTTAACAAAGTTATTCACTGTCTTTTAAGAGGTTTGCTTTTCTTAAAATACTGCCGTATCACACGTGTCTAGTTTATAGGTAGTTTTGTATTTTTCACGATATTCGCCATGCAGCTACACTTTCACACAGCGTCTGTGACATATGAGGAAGCTGAAGAAATGTCAACAAGAGACACTGCCGTTCAATGTTAGAACTGTTATGTGTCAGTCTTTGTCGG